TGGTTCTCAAGAAAAATGTGCGCATACGTATTGGTTTTTACACTTCCAATTTCGACATGGATTTTGGCTCAGTGGTGTAGAGTGGTGGCTCCAATCTGTTGAGTGAGGATTCGGGTGAATCAACAGATTTTAAGGTGATGTAACCATAAATGTTTTCACTATTAGATTGTATATTAGAGTTGATACAGTATGGTATATATTGATAGCTAGGTAAAAAATTGAGAAGTCATTACGTCTATAAGTAATAATATAGACAAACTTTCAACTGAGCAAACACGCATATATATGGGCTTCGATCAGACGTAGCCCATATACCAGCTTGAATGTAAATATTACCACCAAAAGAAGCTGAGATGTTTGTTAGAGTAAAAGGCCCGCCACCAGGATTTGCCCACGCGTTAGACGCTACATCATAACTATACGAAATTGTAGTTGGATTGAGCTACTCGCAAAGGGGCCTTTGGTGATCCAGTCCCGATGCCAACTCTACCAGCAGATGTTATTGTAAGTCTTCGTGTATTACCGGTCATCAAGACCAAATCGTTGGTAGTAGTAGTTCCAAAATATGCCGAGTTGGTGGAAGTTGCATTAGTTGCATTGCTCAACTGTAATCCAAACCCAATAGGTGATGCGTTTGACGATTCCATGAAAATCGGCATATCATAGTTAGCAGTTACTTCATTAAGTGCATTAGATGCTTTGATATAAACATTACCAAAGTTTAGTGTGAGACGAGCAGTCCCAAATAAACTAGTGTTTGGCGTATTGGTGTTAAATATCATTTTATTACCAGTATCAGAAACAAGGTAAAGACAACCACTTGTTCGTGTAGGCGACGATCCGGAAAGATTTATATAAAAAGCATCCGCTGAGGTAGCAAGGGTGTATGGAAACCACACTTGTACGGCTGTGAATTCCAACATTAGACAAAATATATGCGTTTGAGACGTAAAACCCACGGATGGCTTGTCATTCCAATTGATATTGAATAAATCCGCATTGCAGCTGAAACGCCCCCGACAAATGAGCTCGGATTGTCGGAGGGTACCGGTAATCTGGCCAGCGATGCCGCCGCATTCAGAGAGAGTTTCACCCATTGACACGTCTCACACGTGCGCACATAGGTGCTCGTCCATTTGTACAG